TGGAGGATATCTTGAAGTTTCCACAGGTGCTATAATTTTGGCTCCAGTGATATCTCTCACTTCCAATTCCATCCTGCTGGCTGATCTCATTGAAGGGCTCAAAGCCGAGGACAAAAAGGCTGAGAAAGCATGTCACAAGACCCACCAGGTGGCCGCCTGGTCCATTAAGGCATCTACAGCGGCTTCGTTCTTTACTAAAGCCTCACTGCTTTGGCTGAGGCAGTTGAGAGCGAATCCCCCTTCAGAGGGCTCCAGATGGATGCATGACATTAACAAAATTATAGCAGCTGTGGAGTATTCGGCTGATGCTTCACTCAATGCTGCAAAATTTGCCTCCCGGCTTCAAATGTGACCTCACGACATCTGTTGTGGCTTCGTCACCGGCAGGCGGACGTGAAGTCAAAATGGAAGCTTGCTTCCGCTCCCTTCAAAGGAGGACAGTTGTTTGGTGACACATTAGACAAATTCCTAATCGAGACCAAGGATAAACGGAAGGTGCTTCCGTCTACTGCCCAGAAGGCTGGCAGGAAGAACAATTCCTTTTTTCGGAAGCAGTCCTTTTGGGGGAATGACAACTCAAGTGCGGGCCCCTCCTATCAGGGGCCTTACCCCCAGGGCAATGAGCATAACCAGGACAGGTAATCTTTCAAAGATAAGGGTCAACAGCAACAGTCTTTCTGATGCCCCTATCGTGGCGGTTCAAACATCTGCTCCTACAGTTGGTCCAAGTGACCACCAACGGGATCCTCCCATAGGCGGCCGTCTCCAACTTTACGCCGCCCAATGGAAGTTGATCACAACGGACGCTTGGGTTCTCAACACGATCAGGCAGGGCCTAACCTTGGAATTCCTATCCCTTCCCCTGCAAACTTTCATCCGCTGTCCAGTTCCCACCTCCCTCCCCAAAAGACAACGCATGCAGGCAGAGATCTTGCATCTCCTCCAGATAAATGCCATAGAACCAGTTCCTGTAGAGCAGGAAAATAGGGAGTTCTACTCCATTCTTTTCTTTGTCCCCAAAAACTCTGGGGTGGTGGTGGTGGAAGGCCATTTTGGACCTCAAAACCTAAATTGGCATCTGGCCTACAAGTGTTTCAAGATGCAATCCCTACAGACCATCCTGGATTGCATCAGGCGAGGGGACAGGTTGATCTCCATTGACCAGAAGGAGGCTTATCTGCACATTCCGATACACAGATCCCACAGGAAGTTCCTCAGGTTCCATTACGATGGCAAATACTACCAATACAGAGCTCTGCCATTCGGACTTTCATCAGCACCGAGGAGTTTCACGAAGATACTGGCAGTTGTAGCGGCCCATCTGCGCTCACGCCCAATACGTCTCCTCTGTTACCTGGATGACATCTTGATTCAATCAGCGTCCATCAACCAAGTGCTCAGAGACGTTCAAGTCACCATCTCCACCTTGCAGAAACACTGGTTCTCAGTGAACTGAGAAAAGAGCCAGCTGACTCCTACGCTCCGCATTCTACATCTAGGAGCACTCATGAACTTCATCAGCCGTGGGCAGGAGGTGAGAGTGAACCAGTTCGTGTCCATTGTATCCCTATCACAACTCCTGGGACTCATGATCTCGTGCATAAACAGCGTTCCCTGGGCATGGCTTCACACGAGGGAACTGCAATCGTTCCTCCTGCCCATCCAGCGAGCAAAAGCCAGCAACTCTCCCAGATGTATCAGACTGCCTCCAAAGGTCAGACAGTCCCTCCAGTAGTGGGAATCCAGTGCAGTGATGAGAGGTTGCCTCTTCCAGGAACCAAACCGTCTGGTGGTCAGAACAGACGCAAGCCTACAGGGATGGGGCGCCCACTTCCAGGACCAAGTGACTCAAAGCAAATGGTCATGCAGAGAGGCAGCCCACAACATAAACTGGCTAGAGCTAAGGGCTGCCAGACTAGCCTTATGCTACTTAAGGCGGGACATTGTGGGTTGCCATATCTTAGTGCTCATGGACAATATAGCAACAAAGACCCACATCAACTGCCAGGGGGGCACCAAGTCCAAGGCTCTGGTGGCGGAGGTGGAGGCCTTGGGATGGTGGGTGGAGTGCCATCTGACCTCCTTGTGGGCAGACCACAGCTCGGGAGTGGACAATGTCTAAATCGAATGACCATCGACGATGCAGAGTGGCATCTTCACCCGGCGACCTTCCATCAACTGACCATCAAGTTCGGACTGCCAGTGGTCGATCTGTTCGCCAGTCCAACCAACTCACAACTCCCAAGGTTTTTCTCAAGATATGCCACCCTGCAAGCGGAGGGAACAGACGCTCTGAGAGGCCACTGGCCCAGGGGCCTTTTGTACACTTTCCCACCGCTGCCTCTCATCCCACAGCTGGTTTTGAAAATCTTGTCGGAGGAAGTGGAGGTTCTCCTAGTAGCACCTCACTGGCCCAGGAGATCGTGGTATGCGGACCTTGTCAGTCTATCCATTCGCAGACTATGGAAGATACCGCAGGAGCTACTCTCCCTCAGCCAGGGGGCCATAGTGCATCCAGATCCCAGCTAGTTCCAACTGGCTTTCTAGCACTTGAGGGGGACCTCCTGAGGAAAGACAATTTATCTGACAAGGTCATTTGTATCATCCAGGCATCCTGGCGTCTGTCTACCACTTGGATTTATGACGCCACTTGGGCAGCATTCGCTTCCTGGTGTAGGACACTAGACATAGTGCCCACTTCGGCATCCATACCACAGTTGCTGGACCGTCCACTGTCAGTTGGTGGTTGAGGGCTTGTATCAAACTGGACTACCAGCACCAGGGCAAGACGGTACCGCCTAGACTCCCTGCTCATTCCACACGGAGTGTGGCCACCACGGCCCTGTGGGCAACATAAGCTTCTGTGGAAGAAATCTGCAGAGCGGCTATCTGGTCATCTCCGACCCTGTTCATTAAGCATTACCTCATTGACTCCTACGCTGCAGCAGAGGCGTCCTTTGGGAGGAGAGTGTTGCAGACGGTAGTTGCGACTCCGTGCACTCTGGACAATCCATTTGCCCTCCCTGGGACTTCATAGCTTGGGTATGTCCCATGCTTGGACTCTCCAAGCAGTGCACAGGAGAATGACCATTGGCTTACCTGAACAGTCATTCTCTGGGCGCTGCGGGAGAGTCCAACCCCACTCTGGGGTTTTCTGTTCATCCCTCAATTATCAGGCATCTCAGGCTGCTCGGAGTATGGGGCTATGGAGACGTCCAAAGGACACTTCAAGATCACAGTCCATCATAGACTACGCCTTTGTTTTTGAACTGGACCTCAATGAGGAGAGGAGGCATGGTTAAGAATTTCAACTCAGTCTTTGGGCGAATAGACTGAATTTAACCCATGCTTGGAGTCTCCTGCAGCACCCAGAGAACGACCGTTCAGGTAAGCCAACAGTCAGTCTGCACAAATATTTCAAAAGAGGATATAAAAGAGTTGGAAGGGACCTTGGAGACCTTCTAGTCCAGTGATGTCAAACTGGATTTCTTCAAGGGCCAGATCAGCATTGTAGTTCTCCATGTCGGGGAGGGGGCACGGATGCCGCCAGCACCCTGCCAGCCCCCTGCGCCTTGTTTTCACCCTCCATGGCCTCCTGCAGCACTCTGCTGCCCATTTTCGGGCCCATTTTTCAGCCAGCAGAAGGCCATGGAGGATGAAAATTGTGTGTGTGTGTTCGCGCGCGCGTGCATGTAGCCCATTGTAGCCCCCAGAAGCACCACGGGTCAGTCCTTTGATATTTCCAGGCCGCCCCATGGGCCGGATTTAAACACCCTTGAGTTTGACAACCCTCTACTCAGGCAGGAAATCCTATACCATTTCAGATAATGGTTGTCCAATCTCTTTAAAAACCTGCCGTGTTGAAGCGTCCACAACTTCTGAAGGCAAGTTGTCCCATTGATTAATTGTTGTAACTGTTAGGAAATTTCTCTTTAGTTCTAGGTTGTTTCTGTCCTTGATTAGTTATATAGTATATAATATTGTTTTGTTCTGGCTGAAAGTAGTAAACAGTAATCACTGCAACTCATTCACTATATGTCTTTTACAGCTGCAGTACAGACCCTTGTGAACATTTTGGTTCTGAGGTTTAAATGAATATCCTTCATATTCTTTCAAGGTTTCCTTCCATCTTTATTACCAAGAATCTAGAGTAGATTCTGGTATATCAGATCTTAAAACTGTGTGTAAGGTTTGAAGGTAATATCCTAAAAAATATTCTTCCAGTTAATCTTAAGGCTTGTTTTATTTGTGCAGAGAGGAACATTTCATCTTGGGTGTAATGATTATGGGTCACTCAAAATTGTTTGTATTAAAAAAAGCCATTTTTCACTTTTGTTACAGAAGATCTGCTGTCTAAGTTGCTGATCTAATGCATTTGTTTAGTGGTTCTAAGGCTGTAATTTCTGTAGATAGCTTTTAAAATGGCACAGCATTTTGCTATCAAGACCTCAAAAGGAGATGCAGTCATGACAAAAATGGAACATGACTTAATTTGAATTAAATATGGTCATTTCATATAGTTAGCCCTGAAATATGTAATAATTTCTTTTTTTATTCACTTTGACTTGATCACTTTATTTTTGTATTCATCTGGATAACGTTTGATATCTGAATCAAACTTCAACAAATATTCTGGCTCCCATGCTGTTGTGGTTGGGGGTCAGGATCTTTTTGCACGCTATTTCTCTCATCTTGTAGGATGATGTCCAAATTGGTGTATTGAATTTAATTAAGGGGCAATTTTGAAAGCAAATCTTAATTAAAGATTTTTGGAACAATGATCCAAAACAGGGGCCTTTAAAGACTTCAATTTCCAGGATACCCCAGCCAGCATGAAAGTTGAAGTCCATCAGTCTTATAGTTGCCAAGTTTGGGGACCAATCTATAACTCTGAATTTCTATCTTAAAGAAGTGTTAAAATCATTGAAAAGTGAACCAGTTAAAACCAGTATAATCTAAAATCTGTACAAGAGCAATCAACAGATTAACTCTCTTTTTAGCTTTTATGAAGATTTGTTGTCTCATGGAGTCCTGAAGCCATTGACTGCCCCAGTAAAAGGAATGGTGGTAAAGGAAGGAGTAGATAATTTTGTGACACCCCAAGGAATTTCATCCATTGTTAAACATTACTTAAATAAGGCAGGTGAGCTTCAGTTGTGCTGTTGATTTTTCTGTTTTTGAATAATAAAACTCACTGAAATTTTCGGGGAGGAGGGAATTGGCTTCCACCAGGACCAGTGTTAAAAAGTCAAAATGTAACAGGGTGGTCAAAAACTCATCCCTTTTTACTACAGGTGGCACACATGTAATACATATTAAAATTAAAAAGGTAGGAATTTTGATCACAGTTGCAACTTGCATCTTGGCACTCATGGTTGCAACACACACACACACACAGACACCGACATATACACGGCTAATCTTGAGGGTGCCCTTGTTCGCCTGTAGGTGTAGATGATTAAAAAGTGAAACTTCACATTCATCCTCAGGTTTATATGAATGACGAAATATATTAATACAGTCAGTTTATACAATGATCTGGTACAGGTAGTCTTTGACTTAACAACAGTTCACTTAGTGACGGCTAAAAAAAAAGTGACATTACCATTATTCACACTTAATTACCATTGTAGCAACCTCATGGTCATGTGATTTACATTTTGATGCTTGACAACTGACTCACATTTATGACCATTGCAGAGTCCCGGAGTCATGTGATCCCCTTTTGCAACCTTCTGACAAGCAAAGTCAGTGGGGAAACCAGATTCACTTAACAACTTAATTTAAGAACTGCAGTGATTCACTTAACAAATGTGGCAAGAAAAGTTGTAAGATGGAGCAAACTCACTTAACAAATTTCTCACTTAACAATATAAATTTCGGGCTCAATTGTAGTGATAAGTTAAGTTAAACCTTTATCGTTGTTTCAGCTCCCAGATTTTTGTCCTTTTTTCTCCTGCACCATTGATCTTATTCATTTTTTTTTTCATTTAGCTATTTAATTTAAATTTATTAGACACCTAACTCCAAGGGGATTGTAGCATCAGTTAGCTTCTCTCTTTCTCAACAGACGCAGATGTCTTCTACAATCACCATGTTACCCAGATCTGCCTCAAAGATGGAAAATGGGAAGTGGGCACCAGTACAGGCTCTTCTGACTGCTTTGATACAGTTATTCTCACAATGCCTGTCCCACAGATTCTTCATCTTCAAGGGGATATTGCAACCAGTAAGTTTCCATGCTCACGTTTTGTTTTCTTTTAGTTCGTGGATAGCTTGCTCACAAAGACGTTACCTTCATAATAATCCTCAGAGATACTTCGGGCGAGAGGTAATTTCCTTTGAGCACCCTGGCCAAATGAAAATTTGAATTTGAGTCTTCTCCAGTCTAATCCAGACTCTTAAGCACAATATCACCTTGAGTGTCCATCAAAAAAAGTCCCCTTTTTATGACTCATTTAATGCACAGGTTTTTCCCCCCTTTAAAAAAGTCACTTTCTTCTGACCTGTATCTGACACCTCAAAAATGTGAGAATATTTGTAGTCCAAAGGTGTGCTGCTTGCATAACATAAAACTCTTGATTCATTCAAGTGGTAGGATCTGGAAGCTTCATGAGTGTTTTAATTGTTTCACAATATTCTGAGGATGTTTTGTTTTATGATGAGCTAAAGCCTTGCTTGTTTCAAGCTGAAAGTTGAAAAACAAGAAGGATCCTTAGCAAATCAAATGTTGAAGCAACTGAGAGATTTCAAAATAGCGACTGCAAATTGTAATTTTGGACAGTGTGCTTACATTGAATACCTTACACAGAAATATTCAATTTGAAGGAAATAGTGCCATTAGAATTTGTGGTCATCACTAAAGGCCTTCTACTATGTTTGTTTTAATCCTATTTTTGCTATTTTACTCATTTGGAGTTGCATTATTATTATTATAAGCTATGCTGTGAGTTTTTATTGAAAGATGTTGTTGAAAGGCTTTATGTGCATCAATTTTTTACTACATCAATTTCTTAAATGTGTGATAGTCACTTTTTCTCTGTCATGCCAAAGGGTTCAGAAAAGATTTTTTTTTTCTAACAAAAAATGATTGGACATCATCCTTTGTCATATATGAAAATAATTTGACAGAACTATAGCTATCAAGATAGCAGGTAGATTATCTCAAATACCACAGAGGAAGTGGGAGAGAGGAAGTGAGAAGGAGGCAATAAATATAGAACTCAATTTTTGGTATCAATAAAAATGTAAACTTATATTGCTGCTGTTTAGCATTTGCATTGCAAGGTGGCGCAGTGGTTAAATGCAGCACTGCAGGCTACTGCTAGATCAGCAGNTGAGATTTGAACCGCTGAACTGCAGATAGCAGTCAGCTGAAGTGGCCTGCAGTACTGCACCCTAACCACTGCGCCACCTCGGCTCATTCTTGAGCCGAGGTGGCGCAGTGGTTAGGGTGCAGTACTGCTCTCAGATTCTTGAGAGCAGAATCTGCTCAGCAGATGGTACATAATCACTCTTATCCCAAAGGTGTTTTTTTTCAGGAGGGCAACTGGACATGGTACACCCTATATGGTAATGGTATACTTTGCTATACTCATTGGGTGGCCATCTAATGAGAAGAAAGAACTCACTGGAGAAGAGCCTGTTGCTGGGAAAGATTGAGGGCAAAAGAAGAAGGGGACGACAGAGATGGCTGGATGGAGTCACTGAAGCAGTAGGCGTGAGCTTAAATGGACTCCAGGAGATGGTAGAGGACAGGAAGGCCTGGAGGAACATTGTCCATGGGGTCACGACGGGTCGGACCTGACTTTGCAATTAACAACAGTCCTTCCATTCCCCACCATCCAGTCAGAGCTGAAGAAACTCTTCTTCCAAGACACTACTTGGATGAGAAGTGAAATGTCTTCAAAGAAAAAACAAGAAAGTCCAGTTGCCTCCTGAAAAAGCACCTTTGACCTGGATGACTGGGCTCTACAGGCAATCAGTCTGTTGGTTGGTATTCAAATACATTTTTCCCCATCAGATGTTCATGGTAAGAATGATATCTGTGCACGGACTTGGTTTCAGTCACGGTTTTATGAATGAGGACATGGTGAAAATGTCTTGCAATTCAATTGGTTCGCTTCGGGTTTTGTCACAAATTCATTTTGAAGTATAAATGCATCTTATAAAAATGCTTGGAGGCAGAAATTGTTGGTTTCGTTTGGATAGAGACTGTCAAAATTCTCAGAAGAAGGGCCTTCTCCGTGGTGGCTACCTGTTGCTGGAACATCATTCCCTCAGAGATTAGAATGGCCCCCACTCTAATACTCTTCTGGAAGGCGCTGAAGACTAGGTTCTGCCAGCAGGCCTGGGGAACCCAGGGCGGGATGGAGCCCATTAAGTGGCTCATGTGATCTGTTGTCGTGGGGTATGTGTGTGTGATTTTGTTATATTGTGCTATATTAATTTATTTGTTTCTTTTTGTTCGTTTTTATTGTTTTAAATGGCTTTATATTCTGTAAGCCGCCTTGAGTTAACATGGGTGAATAGGCGGCAATATAAATTCAATAAATAAATACATTTTAATAGGAGGAAGAAGGTGTGTTGAATTATGTTCGCTGCCTTGAGTTATTTGTATAAATAATAAAATAAAAATTAATAAATAAAAATTTACTTCCCATAAAGAGCTGTGTTAGGTTTGCAACATCACCTATTAAGTACAGGTAGTCCTCAACTTACAACATTTTACAATACAACATTTTATTTAGTGACCGTTCAAAATTACAACCGCATTGAAAAGATGATTTATGACCATGTTTCATAGTTACAACCTTTGTAGCATTCCCATGGTCATGTGATCAAAATTCAGACTTGGCAACTGGTTCATACTTATGACCACTGCTGTGTCCCAAGGTCATGTAACCCCCTTTTGCAACCTTCTGACAAGCAAAGTCAATGGGGAAGCCAGATTCACTTAACAACCAGGTTACTAACATTAACTGCAGTGATTCACTTAACAACTGGGACAAGAAAAGTTGTAAAATTGGGCAAAACTCACTTAAGAAATGTCACGTAACAGATGTCTCAATTGTGGTTGTAAGGCGAGGACTACCTATAGTCTTTATTTATCAATTGTCTTGGACATCAACACTTCTTCATGATAGTTATGGAAAAGTAATTTTATGACCAATGTCCACATTTATGATCTTTGTGCTCTCCTTCTCTTTTTCTCTCCCCTCCCCATGTGTTCACCATTACAGTACAGTCAGTTATTCATTGTCCTGCGACTGACCAGTCCCCCCCCCCCNGAAACCCTGTAGATTTTTAAATCCAGCTTTTAAATACTTGTTCTAGATAGGTAGACATTTGTGATGTTACTATGCCTTAGGGGCAATAGCAGAGTCCTGTGTTTTGTATTTTGGCATCAGTGGTTTCCTTATTATTCACTTAATTTTAAATTTCATTGTAAATATTGGGTGGGTGCTGTTTTTTTCTTGTATATGTCTGCAATTGAAGATGTATTTGCCAAAGGAACAAATACATGTGATAAGCTTGTGATGCTGTTCGTTAAGATGGATCCTCATATTTGGGGATATTTTCTCCTATTGAAGCAAGTTAACCCATTGAATCTAATCCAGCAGCACAGGCACTTTTAGAATTTCAATATAATTTTTTTTCTTGACAGGTCCGTGTAGAATTTTCACTTGTCAAAAATGCATGTGTTGAATTCTGATGTGAATCCTTTCTCGAAATACTGATTTTTCACGGTTCTTTGCATTGTGGTCCCCCATGTGAAAAGTGTTTGGCATTTGAAGGGTTAGCGTTTTGTAAACCTGGAAGCAGTTTTTATGTTGCCACTGGAAGCAATTTTACAACAGATGAGGCAATTTTGCACCTTAGTTGCAGTACTTGAATGAGACAGTGGATGGCAGCCTTCTAATAATCTTTCAAAGGGCTTAGTAAAATGTAAGCTGGCTTCAAGGTATGGTGTATAAAGCGCTAGCAGTTAGATTTTTGATCTCTCCATTAGCGATTTACTGTATTTTAAAAACTTAAAAGAGGAAAGATAAACGTTCTGCTGATGTTAAACTACATATTTAATTTTTGAGAAACCACCTATTAGAATAGGAATATTCAAATACAAGCACAATAAAAAAAGTCCTAATTTTACATCACGTTTACTGCATTTTGTGCTTTGTGAAGTATTGCATAGCCATGAATGCTCTTGGATGCTATGGGCTAAATTGTGAACTTTGAAAAGCCTTCTGGTTGAAATGAGATAAGATAATTTTGAAAATTCTGCCTGGGCTGTTCAGATATATTATTATATAATGTATATAATAATGTGTATAATGTGACATAATATGCCCTCACATATGGTATATTTTATACATAATGCGCTCTACATGGGGCTGTCCCTGAAGAGTTTTCGAAGACTACAGTTGGTTCAGAATGCAGCCACGCGAGCGATATGGGGTGTACCTAGATACACCCATGTTACACCCATCCTCCGCGAGCTACACTGGCTCCCCATTGGTCTCCGGACGCGCTTCAAGGTGCTAGTCGTTGCTTTTAAAGCCCTACAGGGTTTAGGGCCTGGCTACCTGAGGGACCGCCTCCTGCCACTTAACCTCCCAACGACCCAACAAGATCGCACAGGTTGGGCTTCCTCCGGGTGCCGTCAACCGGGCAATGCCGGCTGGCGGTCCCCCCCAGGGGTGGGCCTTCTCTATTGCTGCGCCAGCCCTGTGGAACGATCTACCTGTAGAGATCCGGACCCTTACTACTCTCCCGGCCTT